AAGAAGTAAAAATTTTCCCTATTTTTGGTCGCACCAATAATTGTTGATGTTGTTTTTTAATGTGTACTTCTTGTAAACAAATTATATCAAATTTTAATTTCTCTATTTTATGAAAAATTTTCCTTCTTTTAGTAGCTGAATTCAGCCCATTTATATTCAAAGAAATCAATTTTTTTTCCTCCATAGTTATGATTTATATTTAGGTCTAACGGCTCTCGTTGATCTTACTTCACGTTGATCTTTAGTCTCCACTTGTCCACCTACTGCACCTTCTTCTTTTCCCATCTCTATTTGGTCCTCTTGAAATTCAGTTAAGGTAGTGTCTTCTTCTATCTCTGTTTCTCTTCTTTTAAAAAATTCCTTATAAAACGATTCTGCTTCATCAATTGAGCCAATTCTGTATCTCTGTTCTTTCCATGTAACCATTAATCCTTCTGGAATCAACCATCTGTAATTCACCTCCTTTTCCAATAATACTTTAGTCAGGAAACGATATTCTCTCCTCATCTCTCTAATTTTTCTGGGTACTTGTTTTAAAACCCCAATCTCTTTATCTCCATATTTCAATGTCTTCTCTCTTGCCGCTTGTAATATCTGCGTTCTGATAGATTTTTTAGTAAATCTAACATGAACTTCTCTTGGTAACTTATTCCTCGATGCATATCTTGTAAAAACTCGGTATATCTCATCTATTCCATCCATCATTTTTTCCTCTGTTATTTCCAAAGCTCCAGCCAAGATTTCTATCATTACTGCAGCAAGATCTTGTCCTTTTTCTTCCTCTATATTTTGAAATCTGAGGTAATATTCTGATCTGTCCATCTCCCACTTCACCATCTCATTCTTGTTTTGTTCAAGCGTTGTCACTCTGTCATCAATATTTCCAATTTTCTCATCTCTTTGATTGTCTTTCTCTTCTAATTTTTGCAATTTCTCATCTCTTTGATTGTCTTTCTCTTCCATTTTTTGTAGTTTCTCATCATACTTCGCCATCATCTGTTGGATATTTTCAATTTTTTGTTCAATACTCCCCATCCTTTGTTCAATACTCATTTTAAGTTCTTGAATTCCTTGCATAACCGTCGTTAGATCCGTTTGTCCTTTATCTTGCTTCGCCATTGTTGAAAGTCGTCCTCCAGTTGATGGGGAGGCAGGAGCAGAAGTTGATGCGCCAGAAGGTAGAACTTTCTTACTCATTTGAATAGCTCAGAATCTTCCCACTCTTTTTATCCAGTTGGCAGTGTAACAATTATAATCCAATTAGAGAAAGGAAAAACGTAAAAAAGAAAAATCAGTAAAAAAAAAACCAAAAAGCCCAAAATTTAAAAAGGAAAAAAAATTTCAAGGAAAAAAGAAAAATTGCCACCAGAAAAATTTCTTTCTTCAGGTTCTTCTAGACCTTAATCCTCAGTTGCAATAGTCAAAAGGAGAATAAAACCCAATAATATTAAAAAAAATAACAATAATAATAAAAGGAAAAGAAAAGAAAAATTCTTCAGGTTCTTCACACCTTAATCCAATTGCGAAATCTCAAGAAAAAAAAAAAACATGGCCACAAAAAAAAGAGTATATACATACAAAGATAAAAAAAACAAAAGTCCCCCCCAAAAAAGAAAAAAAAAAGGAAAAAAGAAACAATATTCTGAGGCTTTCCCTTTAGAGAAAAAAAAATGAAAAATAATAATAATAGTAATAAGCAAAAGTGTACAAATATTACAAAAAACTATAGGGTTAAGGAGGAGGGATAAAAGCTAACAACAAGTAAAGCAAAAATCACACTGCATTTTATTTAAACATCCAAGGCTCTTATTATGGCTTCTCCACAAGTTTCAAAGCCAAGCTTCAAACATTCAGTTGATTGTAGAAATCCCAAAGAGACACCTGTGAAAACATTCTCCAGAGTTCCTCTCTCTATCTTATCAACTCAGTGTCCTTGGGAGAGAGTTTCTCACAGTTCTCTCAACTTCAAGTAAAGTATTTTCAAGCCTCTAGTTGGCAGTGTTGCAGAGTTACAAACTTTCTCAACTCCACTCCCCCTTCTTCCTCCCCAAAAAAAAACCAATAGAAAAAGAAAATATGTATATATATATGTGTATATTTAAAAAAAAGAAAAAATCACTAAAGGAAGCCTCTATTAAAAATATAAACAGTCAAAAAGGAAAGGTAATTATAGAAAAAAACAAAACAAAACCAGTCTGGTTACAATTACTAATCACAATAAAAGTTCGCTAGAAAAAAAAAAAGTAAAAAGCCAAACCTCATTTTGACATCTTCTAAAAAATCGCCACTAAGTCCATCTTATCAAATTCTGTCAAAAATCTTACAGATTCCTTCTTCTTCTAGGGTGTCCTTATCCCAAATAAAAAAAATAAATCTCACCAGCCGATACACTTTCTCTTTCTTTCTTCTCTTCCTTCCGGAGCTGTCCCTGCTTCAGCAGCTTAATGGCTGCCTCTCCGCCGATGGTAAAGGGGCTTCTTCTGGATCCACCAGGGACTTGCGGTGTCCCTGTGATCGACAGAACGCGCCCCTTACTATCACCGTCTCTACGGGACGGTTTAGGTCCGTTGGGACCGACCAGGGGCGAAGATATCAGCTGTAACTTCGGAGCCCCGAAATTACAGCTGTAACGCGGCGACGTGGCTCCGCCTTCTCCCAGCAATTGTGATGTTCTTCTGTTGCTTGTGTCTTTCATCACTTTGACATGTGGTTTCTTGTCTTGGAAACTCACATTTCCTGAGATCTCTTGGGAGTTCATATCTTCTTTTCCCGTTTTCCTGACTTTGCACATCAAAATATCTTATGTTAGTGCTCAAACTCCCACTCACTGTGTTTAGCAGGGCCTGAACTACCCAAATGCTCAGATTGCTGTATGAAATCCCTAAAGCATTTATTATGGCTGCCTGAAGAAAATGCTGCATATTGAAAGAAATCAGCTGTTAGCAATCTAGAAGGAACAAGAGTCCCCAGAGGGTTAACTTCTTGCAAAATCAACAATGAAGACAACTACTGAATTTATTAAGAAAAGGATTAAATAAATGCACAGTTCTCCTGTTTTGAAAACGGAATACCAGATCTTCCCAGGAAGAATGGAAGGCTCTTTTAATCTTCAAATTCTGAAACATGTTTTCTTCCAAATTATATGTATTCAAAAATTTAAAAAGAGGAAGGTCACTTTTGTTCCTAACGCAATAAGCTTGTGCATGTGCAACCTTGATTGTGCATGTAGAAAACCCCACTGCTTACTTAGTGTGTGGAAACTGGGACCAGTTTTGGAGACCATTCCTTTTCTCTCATAAAGACTTTTTAAACAATATGCTCTAGTATCTAAAAATATCCATAATAGCAATAGCACATAGACTTATAGACCTCTTCATAGTGCTTCACAGCCCTCTCTAAGTGGTTTACAGAGTCAGCATATTGCCCCCAACAATCTGGGTCCAACCTTTCACCGACCTCAGAAGGATGGAAGGCTAAGTCAACTTTGAGCCTGTCAGGATCGAACTGCCGGCAGTTGGTGGAGTTGGTCTGCAATACTGTATTCTAACCACTGTAATGCATTCTGAATGTGTCTACCTGAAGTCTGAATAGTCCTTTTAATCAATTTTAGGCAGGGAAGCTGGAGACTGTGAGTTCTAGTCTCCCTTAGCCATGAAAGTCAGCTGTGTGACTTTGGGCCAGTCCCTTTCATCCCACCCCCCACCTCACAGGGTTATTGTTTGAGGGGGAGGGAATAGGAGGAAGAAGGTGTGTTGGATATGTTTGCCACCTTGAGTTATTTATAAAAACAATAAAGGCAGTATGCATATAGATTAAATAAATAAAGTTGAAAAGGCAGGAAATAAGAAAAATACATAAAATACTTACAAATATAACAAAAGTTATCACTTAGGAAGTAAACATGACAAAATGATTCCTAATCATCTGAATTTGAGAATTGGTGGTTGGGGGTGGGGTGCGGAATAAAAGACCAAAATGCTGGTTTTGGGTTGCAGCTCCATATGTAAGAATACAATAAAGATTTGAAGATTAAGTTGCATTTGATATTTAGCAATGAAATTCTGCCTGAAGATGTGTGATGTAATGCAGAGCCCACCTTCAGGTTCTTAAAATAATAGTAACTGTTGGCTCTTTTTGCTGTACTACCATTTTCCATGAAGTTTTTACCTGAAGGATCTGAAAAATTCCACCAAATTTGGTTCTTTGAAGATATTTTTTGGCAAATTTCCAGTATAAGAATATTTTTTTTTTTTTACAAAATTCACTCTTCAAGGAAGAGCTTTGCAGGCAGCCAGCCATTTATGCATTGGACCATTGGCATTGTGGTTAAACATTTTTGTAATGTTACATAAACCCACACTATGCAAAGAAAGCTGATTTTAGTGTTGCAAAACTATCATTGGTTTTTAGACAAACATTAATAGAAAACTGTTGTTATATAATGCCCAAGGATTCGTGTTTTTGTCACATGTTGTATGGCTGATTGCAAAACAAATGCCCACAGTTTGTGGAAATAGATATTGTTTTATTCTTTAAGTTAGAAATAGGTGTTTCTAACTTATCTCACTTTATACCTAGCAATTCTTTATTGTGGAAACACACAACAGTGGCATGTGTCAGATCTTTCAGAGATGCTTAAAATATAACAATAAATTCAGAGCTTGTTAGTAATGTTAAAGGTGCTCCTTGAAGTTTATTGCTTGAAGGAGGGTTGTTGCCGAATAAACGAAGATTTCCCAGCTGAATTTATAGCTACCTGTAGATGGCCATGGATTGATTGATTTAAGTGAGGTCAAATTTGATAACCTAAAGGTCACAAGTGAGAGAACTTCTACTATTGTTTCTGCTGTTACTGCTTGCTCAGGAAATAAAATAAGCATGAAAATATGCAATAGGCTACATACATCTTTAGACACAAAAATTCTCTGTTTATAATAATTGCATTTTTTTAAATCCTTCTGCTGTTCTCTTCCCCTTCCATTTCTTTCCTCTGACTTTAGATCCAAAAGACTCCAAGGAAAAGAATAAAATGGAAATCCTTTATATATTGGTGCCCAGTGTTACAATTCCTCTGGCTATTGCCTTACTGTTTTTCTTCATCTGTATTTGCCGAAATAACCAGAAATCATCTTCTCCACCTGTTCAAAGACAGCCTAAGCACGTCAGAGGACAGAACGTAGAGATGTCTATGCTCAATTCATATAAACCAAAGGTACTGTGAACCAAGTCGGATGCATAAAAATGAGAAACCTTTGTTTTAAGAACCTTAGTTCTTTGGTGGGCTTAGCTCTTTGGGGGCTCTGCCATTCCTAATGATCCATCCGATTTCACCATTGTATGGAAATCATACTTACTGTTGTCTTGTAATGTCAGAAGTTTCTTGGAAATAAAACAATGCTGCATTTTGATAGTTCACAGCTGAGCAAAGAAAAAAAATTCTCCAAATTTTGAATACAAAAGGGCTGTCCAATCTGCTCAGCAAAACCTGGTGGGAGCAAAGAAATACAGAAAGCAATTATGCTGGCATTTAGTGGAGTTTGGTAGACCTACTTTAGATTTTTTGCTTGTTTTCCCCTGTTGGTAAGCCCATTTGAACCCTATCATTGCCTCAAGTAGACACACATAATTCTATTGTTATGCTGGCATCATAAGCACAACACATTAGAGAGTAATCCCTACTTTAATGTGCACTTCCTACACATTTAGGATTTTTCCCCTAATTATCCTCCTCAGTATCATAAATTGAATCAATTGTAGTCATTAATGTAATAGAAGTGACTGATAAAGACAGAGTGCGATAAACTCCCTTTGTACTTGGTTTTCTTTGGCACAATGTCTCCTCTGGTTTTTTTGTGGGTTTTTTTTTGGTTTTTTTTTACACTTCTATGCATCTTGTACACCACCAAGTGACAAATACCTGTCAAACAAAAGCTAAGCAGATTTATAGCTGCTTAACTCCAAATGAACCCCCTTCTGCCAAATTTTATGACTTCATTTTCTTTCAGTTTTCCACCAAGTTGGTTAAAACAGACAGCCCTGCTTGAGGTCAGACAGAGGTCATTTCACTTTCATTACTAAAATATAATTTACAATATGCCAGACCTAAACAAGTTTTAGCCTAAAGGATTTGTATAATATAAACCATCTGCTTTGCAATAATACATCTAATTTCCCGCCGTCCTGCAGTCAGATAACTGCCTGTTCAAATGTCACTACAACATATTAATTCACACAGTAGTTACCTAAAATACATAAAATAATCAGGAAAATTACAATTTATTTTATGGGTCCTACTTACAATTATCCTTCCTTCCTTCCTTCCTTCCTTCCTTCCTTCCTTCCTTCCTTCCTTCCTTCCTTCCTTCCTTCCTT